CAAGGCCTGTTACTTTCCTATTCATCCCAAGCCTTTCATTTTTCTTTCCCTTTTGCTTCTTGTCTTTCTTCCTTTTCCCTTTAAATGTTCCTGATCTTTACTTTTCTTGTCCTTTCTTATGTTTCCCAATATTATCTTTCATATTCCTTTCTTAGATTCCTTATCTTTCCTTTCATTTTTTTTCTTATAATTCCTTATCTGTCTTAATTATTTGTAGTAGCACATGTGCAAGAAACAACAATAGAACTGTTTAACTTTTGAGATTTTACAGTACATTACTATTATTTGAAGTAGCACATGTGCAAGAAACAACAATAGAATTGTTCAACTTTTGAGGTTTTACAGTACATTACTATTATTTGTAGTAGCACATGTGCAAGAAACAACAATATAATTGTTCAACTTTTGAGATTTTACAGTACATTACTATTATTTGTAGTAGCACATGTGCAAGAAACAATAGAATTGTTCAACTTTTGAAGTTTTACAGTACATTACTATTATTTGTAGTTGCACATGTGCAAGAAACAACAATAGAATTGTTCAACTTTTGAGATTTTACAGTACATTACTATTATTTGTAGTAGCACATGTTAAAAAAACAACAATAGAATTGTTCAACTTTTGAAGTTTTACAGTACATTACTATTATTTGTAGTTGCACATGTGCAAGAAACAACAATAGAACTGTTCAACTTTTGAGATTTTACAGTACATTACTATTATTTGTAGTAGCACATGTGCAAGAAACAACAATAGATTTGCTCAACTTTTGAAGTTTTACAGTACATTGTAGTAGCAAATGTGCAAAAAAAAAAATAGAATTGCTCAACTTTTGAGGTTTTACAGTACAATGTATAACTGTTGTTTGTAGTAGCAGATGATCATGTGCAAAAAGCAACAATGAAATTAACATTTTTCTTTATTTCAGATCCTCCCTTATTTCCCACTCGTTGAAAACCTTGGTAATGTTTTAGAAAAGCGTGTTGACAAGATTCGTGTTGAAGAAAAGGAAAAGCGCCCTGACATTTATGCATTAGCAATGGGGTAAATGCGGTTTGTTTTGGTTTTAAATTTGATGCCAAGTAACAACAAATAACTTCTTTCCTTTATGAAGGCATGAAACACTTGTTATTTGTTGTTTTTTTTTTTTTTTTTGTCAAGTTTATGTAATTATTTGTGAAAGGATTTTCATGTACTATACTCAAGCTACTTTATGTAACAAAATCACCAAAAAGATTTCTTTAATCATGTTTTCTTACCATTGGAAATGTTTCTACTCAGCATGATTTTTATGCAGACATAGCTGCATTATTCGGTTATTAGGAAACATCCACTACATAATTGCACCATTTTAACTGATATTTTACAAATGGTCCAAGTTCGGTAGACCTACACCAGTCTATGTATGTCTTTCAACTGACCTACGTCCAGCTGGCCCACCCTTCCCTGTTCATACTTAATATTGAATTTGAAGTAACTTTCTTTGGGCTCTAATTAACTTGTTTTACGAAAGTAATTTTCAATTACAATTAAATTTTCATCGTGGTGTGCGATATCTTCGTTTCATTTCATTTCAATTTAATTTTAATTTATTCAGTTCATTCAGAGAGATAAAATCAAACATACAAAAGCACAGAAACAGATAAAAAGTGCAAAGAACTTAGACATGCCAACCACTCCGATTTCGGCGGAGTTACTCCGTTTATTTAAGCATACCTCTGCACTCCGATTTTGGGTCAAAAATCTCAGATTTTACGTATTTTGGCCAGCTGAACTAAATCGCGCATTCCCAAATAAAAAATAATCCTCTGATTTAGATAAGAACAAGGCCACTTAATTTTGTCCTGAAAACAGCGCTCTGAACTATAGGCCCTATAGACAATAGTAATTCGCGCTCTATGGTCTACTGATTTTGAAAAAAAAACCACAATTTCATTGACACCAAATCACAAAATTATTTCGCCATTAAAACACATCTCGGAACTCGGTGAAGCTCATTTCCAGCCATCTAGGAATCTAAATTTTCCTGGGGGAGGACCCCCGGACTGCAATTTCTTTTTAGGTTTTTGTGAACTTTCTGAACCCCCCTTTTAGAAATCCTGGATCCGCCCCTGACATGAATTTCAAAGAAACAAAATAAACACACTTGGTTTACACAGTAGTTTAGGTGACTTAATACAGTGGCCCTATTTATTGTTTTATAGTAGTACTTCCAAAAATTGACAGCATTTATTTTAAGAAGCCCATCTCAAAAAGAATCCCATTAAAAGTTCGCTAAAAAAAAAAGAAGCCTAGGGCTTCTATTCGAGGTTTTACGGACATTCATTTTGTACATTATGAAAACCATTGTAAATGTCTTACACCTGGAATTTATTTAAACTTTTGTCATTATGCTTCTTAGGTATTCTGGCCAGCTAAAGGGTCGTAAACCTTCAATGATACCAGAAGCCAAGTTTCACACAAAAGAGGTAGGATTTTATTTATACTATATTTTTTAAATCTCACTTAACAGTAAACCAGCTCTTAAACAGGTAGATTGTGGAAGATACGCACAGACTGCTATGACCTAAAAACGTGAAACCTGTAGTCTTAGCGACAGGAGTGACTTTTGCGTATGAGTAAAATAAAAGTTTACTATGAGTTAGCTCTGAGTTGAATGAGTTCATTATGAGTCAACGTGAGTTAAGTACAAATTATTTTGATCGAATATGAATTATTCTGAATCAAGTACAAGTTTATGAACTTTGCAAGATTACTACAGGCTTTAATAATTAACTTTGAGCTTAACATGTTACATACAAGCACCATCTAGATACGGGTATTCCAAGCTTGGCGATTTACCATAGTCAACATGGTAAAATTATAGTCAAATTAAAAGCATACAGAACATGGAGAAGTAACACCAAAGAAAATAGAAGATGTAGTGGAATTTCCAGTTGAAATGCATTGTGGGAGGATGGGTCCATAGAGAGCAATTTTATCCACACCACATGCACACGCAGATGCACACTACTGCAATACCCTTCAGAGAGGTGAAGTGAAGGCAATGATGCTCTGTAAAAATTGTCTTGGAATGATGCTTTGCAAATTTAGTAATATTCTGAAGCTTAAGGAGTGGAGTTCACTAATTTTTAGACAAAACATCTAAATGCGTAAATTGTAAATAGTTGTAGTAGTCTTTAAAAAATAGGTAAATACAGTTTTGGACTCATTAATGTAAATTACTTTTTTTTTTGTAGCCAAAAATGGCTCCCCAAACATCTGTAGTAAAGAAAGAGCCCAGTTCATTAGAGTCAGCAAGTTCATCACCAAATTTAACACAAGGCAAAGCAGATGTTGACATTAAGATGAATGGTAAGTATATTTTTATAATTAAAAAAAACAATAATCACTAGAGCACACTCCAAAAGTGTATACTTCCACCCACATCATTATTCCTCCCTCTATAAAATTCCTACGCATCTTTTTCCATACAAACTCATCAAATGCATTGCACCATGGGTCATAGATTTTTTTTAAACAATTTTCACATGTTATATATTCATGAAAAATGAAAAACCTGAAATTTTAAGACTCTTGTTTATTTTCCGAACGGCAGTTGGAAGTTAAGGAGGTGTGACCCAAAATAATGTGCTATGAAATGAACATTGATTTTTATATGCTAATATTTCGGAAATACTGTACAACCCCTATAAACCCTGCAATTTGATGTTAAAGAACTTTTAACTGCTTCTAAATCAGAAAAGTTGTTAGCATGTACCAATTAGAAATTGCGAAGGTAAGAAAATTGGACGAAAAACCAGTCTGGACCATTATTCGGGAGGCTATAACACAAAAAATAAGACTTTATTAACCTTCAAAATTTTGAGGAATCATAGCCCACCATTAGTGCTCCCCCATATGTACAGTTATACAGATACAGCAATCTAACAAAATCTGAAAAGTGGTTTTAACAACAGCTTGAACCCCGAACAGTGATGAATAAATTTTAACTTGAAACTAAATATTATTAGAACAATGTTATGCACTATTTTTATTCCTTTGTTTATTCCATATTGTATGCCTAAAAAAGTGGTTAACGTATCATGCTGCATATTTCTCTGTTAGCAGAAGAGGTCCATACCTCCCAAGTTTTGACAAAAACTCAGGGTAATACATCTTGCTGGTATGTTGAAAATCTTTGGGTTCTTAAATTAATATATTGCCACTGAAGCCCATGAGATTACGTTTAGAAGTGAGTGATTGTATTTGCTTGCTTTGTTTACATTCTGATGGCTATAATGTCACCAGCCAGCCATTTTTTAACTCTTGTTAACTCCCAGTGAACATTCTTAGAACCAATTAATTTAAGTTTATGGAGCTGCTGACAGCTCCTTCTGGACCATTTGACAGCTCACTCTCAACCATCTGACAGCTCACTATGGACCATTTCTGCTAATGCGAACTTTTCGTCATGTGACAGTTTCAGTTCCATGCCTGCAGCATGCTTTATTTTGTATGTTAGAATTATAAAACTTTATTTTTATTGGATACCCAATCAATGTGGGGACATTTTTCTTTCTTGGGGTCCAGATAACAAAAACTTAAATTTCATACAAAAATAAATGAAAATAAAAATAACGAAGAGTTAAGTACAAGAAGCAAATTTAAATTCGATATTTGAAAGATTTTAAAGTACTGTAAGTAGTGTTGGTTCATTGTTGCTGGAAGGTATATGGAATTTAGGGTCATTACTACTTTGTTAATTATGGATTATTGTTTTTGTAGGTGAAAAGGATGACAGGAAAGACAGATCTGCCAACTCTAACAGTAATAAAAATGAATTGGCCATCAGCAGGAAAGTAGAATCAAGGTCAGTTGATGTGGCATGCTCATAGGGAATGAAATAATAAATGTGTTTGACACATTGGACAATTTATTAAGTATTTGGAATGTTAATATCCAATTATCACAATAAATAAGTTTGCTTTCCTCTCTTTTCAGTTCAAAGTTGAAGGATAAATGTAGTAAAGAAGACAAAGATGAGAAATCAATAAGGAAAATAAAGGAAGAAAAAGGTCACAGGTCAAATAAAAGTCACAGAGAAGAAAAAGACAAGATTCACTCTGAAAAAAGGAAGGAAGAGAATGGAAGAGAGGTGAAAATTAAAAAAGAAAAAGATGAAGTGAAAAGAGATGGAAGAAGTAAGATTGACGAAAAAGAACAGCGTGCCAGTCTGTCTCTTATACACATCTAGATGTGTATAAGAGACAGGCACACTACTGCAATACCCTTTAGCTGCCGCACAGTCCTTCAAGAACAAGTGTTAAGACAAGATAAGTGACTTAACCTTGAGTGAGCATCTACTTAATCTTGAGTGAATGCACCAGGACTAACAAAGCTACCTTGGAGTGAGAAGGATATCCACACTCAAGACACCCTTTGAATAGTCCAGTGTCTAAGACACGGTGTAGGTATGATCAACTATCTTAGCTGTCGCACAGTCCTCAAAGAACAAGTGTTAAGACAAGATAAGTGACTTAACCTTGAGTGAGCATCTACTTAATCTTGAGTGAATGCACCAGGACTAACAAAGCTACCTTGGAGTGAGAAGGATATCCACACTCAAGACACCCTTTGAATAGTCCAGTGTCTAAGACACGGTGTAGGTATGATCAACTATCTTAGCTGTCGCACAGTCCTCAAAGAACAAGTGTTAAGACAAGATAAGTGACTTAACCTTGAGTGAGCATCTACTTAATCTTGAGTGAATGCACCAGGACTAACAAAGCTACCTTGGAGTGAGAAGGATATCCACACTCAAGACACCCTTTGAATAGTCCAGTGTCTAAGACACGGTGTAGGTATGATCAACTATCTTAGCTGTCGTACAGTCCTCAAAGAACAAGTGTTAAGACAAGATAAGTGACTTAACCTTGAGTGAGCATCTACTTAATCTTGAGTGAGCGCTCCAGGATTAACAAAGCTACCTTGGAGTGAGAGGGATATCCACACTCAAGACACCCTTTATATTGTCTAGTGTCTAGGACACTATCTTAGCTGTCACAGTCCTCAAAGAACAAGTGTTAAGAAAAGATCATCGGTTACACAGCTTGGGAGTAACTTTAGCTACAGTATTTGCAGGGTGAAGTAGATCTTAAGTCACTAGCTGCTGTTGCAGTTTGTTGTGGTGAGTATAACATCTTTAATAAGTTTAAAATAAGATTTTAGGTTTACTTTTATAGGGCATTCTTAAGTGTCTTTCCAAAAGACCAAATTATTTACCAAATCTAGTATGTATAATATCAACCGAATTAGTTACAAAATCTAGTATGATCATGCAGTAACATCAAATCGCACTGGTACTTGGCAGTTTTTGAACACCATTTCATAAGGTTATCTTCATCTTTTGCCCTATTTCTTCTTCTTGTGTTTTTCTTTTTGTGATTGACACTGGATAAAACATAGCATAGAAACATTACACTGTAGTATTATTGAGTACCATTCCCATTCCAACAATAGCCGCTATTCGATAAAATGTCGACTGTTTTTAAACTCCTCAATTTGTTGGTTAATTTAATTTCAGATGTAAAGCCTCAGTAAATGTTCTGTTGAACTTAAATTATTGTGACCCACTAGATTTTAAATGGATTGAAAAAAACAGAGGAATAGCGTAAATGTTTTGGATAATTAATTGTACACAGTGAGCTTAGCCTTGTCGCTAACACAATCTACAATCAAGCAATTTAAGTTTGTCTGGTAGTTTAGATATTCCATACAGAAATTGCATTGAAATGACTTGCTGACAGTATTTAACCTGAACATGTTCCTTTGAGTCAAGAATGATCCTCTCAGTCAGCATTGGTTGTCACAAGACAGGCAGTAGGCCAAGCCCAAGCAATGGACCTAGAATGCCTCTCAAAACTCTTCATACTTTTAGGTTGAATGGTAATGTTAACCAAATCAACCTTATCTTTTTGACCTGAATTTATATAAAAAAGAAAATGCAGTCAAAACATTTAAAGTAGAATGTAGAATACTTACAAAATATGTAGAATATTGTTATGATCATGCAAAACAAATTTTGATAGTAATTATGTGTTGTAATTCACCATTCACACTGAAATTAAGGGGCGTTTATTTGAGTATATACGTATCCATTGCACACCAACATATACAGTATAGTGCCTCCATTCGAATAAACACCTTCCTCGAATAAACGCTCCCTCAAAAATACTTCAGAGTAATAAATGACCCGGGGCGTTTATTCAAATAAATACTATCATTTGGTACAATATTATCGAAGGAACAAAAAATGAAAATAAGAAAAAAGTGTTTTTGAATATTGTGTGAATGGAGACTAATTTGAGTATTTCTAATGTATAACTTATGAAGATTATTGTAACACGCTTTTGCTATGTGAGCACATACTTACACATAAAAAAACAAAACAATGTTTATTGCAACATTGATAGAATTGAACATATATACATAAGAAAGGAAGTAATATGTTATGTACTATTCTAAAGCTAAAGAACTAAGAAATAAAGCAAACAATATGAATCGATATCTTAAAAAAACATATTGCTCAAAAGCTATTAATGAAAGTGTTAATAAACCCAAACAAATTTGGAAAACTATAAAAAATATTACTGGTAATGATAAAAAACAATCAGTAAATTCTCTTATAACTGGAAATGAAATTATCTCCGATGAATTTGAAATAGCCAACAAATTTAACTCATATTTCTCTTCCATAGGTGAATCATTAGCTCAAAACATTAATAATAATCTTACAATTCTAACAATACTAATAACCTACACTTAAATAATCAATTTAATTTTGAATTAATTTTACCTGAAGAATCATTCTACTAACACTGCACTTATTGATGTTTCTGAACACATTCTTAACAATCTTAACAATGGCAAAGTAACAGCTGCTATCTTCTTAGATTTGAAAAAGGCTTTCGACACGGTTAACCATACTATTTTAATTAAAAAACTTAAACAATATGGAATCAGAGGCACTACATTAAACTGGTTTTCATCATATCTCTCAGGAAGATCTCAGGTAGTTAAAATTAAATCAAAATTATCAGATCCTAAAAATATCACTATTGGTGTCCCTCAAGGGTAAATTCTTGGCCCCCTTCTTTTTATTATATATATAAATTCCTTGCCTGAAATTATCACTCCCGATTCAAAATGTGCAATTTTTGCAGATGATACTAATGTTCTTTGTTCTGCTTCTGATCAAAATGAATTGCAATCTATCATTGACAAAAATGTAGCCAACATATCCAAATGGTTTAATATAAATAAATTAACCATTAATGCTAACAAAACCAAATTTATGATATTTAGTTCAAAATCTAATCTCTCAAAATTTTCAAATATTTCTTTATCAATAAATGATAACATTATTGATAGAGTTGATAGTTTTAAATACTTAGGAATTACCTTTGATTCTCTTTTTACATGGAATAAGCATATTGAAAATTTTTATACCAAAATTTCACAACGTATTGGTGTTATTCGTAGATTAAGATACTTTTTGCCTAATTTTTCACTTAAACTTATAGCAAATTCTTTAGTATTGCCTTATTTTAATTATTGTAGTCCAGTATGGTCAAATTGCTCAGTTGCACATCTTAATTCACTCCAGGTATTACTAAATAGACTGGCCAGAATTATTTTGTACGCTGATATAAGAACGCTTGTTTATGATCTTATGGAATCACTAAATTGGAAGCTTGTGGACAAACAATGGGAATATAATATT